TCTTTGCCTCATATTTCACTAAGAGAATTGAAAACTGAAGCAATAAGAAAACCTCCACAGATTACTTCCACTACATCTTATCTACTTCCATCTGCTCCAACTTTCTCCTCCTTCCCACCAGTTTCCTCTATAAGAAATATCTGTGCTCCTATAAAGCCAATCCCTGAATTTCTAAACTACGTCTTCTCAATACTCAGGAACTTCACTCTAGAAATTATCCCCATTCTCACTACTCTATCATTAGTTATTTGATCTATACTAGATCATTCTAATCAGGATATAAACATGCCGTTTCTCCCATCTAACCATTTTTTTCTTGATTCTACTTCCGCTATCAGCTACCATTCCATTTTTGTTCTCCTTTGATACAAACTTCTTCCAAAAACGTTGCATTAGATGTCTCTAATCCTTTCCTCTCATTCTCTCTTAAGCCTACTCTAGCACTCTACCAAAACTGCTCTTTGTCAAGGTTATTAGTGACCTCCACATTCCCAACTCCAATAGTCAATCCTGAGTACACATCTTACTTGACCTATAAGCAGCATTTATAATAGCGCATTACTCATTTATCCTGAATAAAATGTCTTAACTTGTCTTTAGGAATAATACACACCCTTAGATTTCCTTCTACTTATAATCTGCTCTTTCTCAATTTCCTTTGCTGGTTCCTTGGTAAAAGCATATTTGGGCTCATTCTTTGTTCCACTTCTCTTCTCTATCTACACTTACTCTTTTGGTGATATCTCACTTTATGGCTTTAAATACTATCTATATGAAAACAATTCCCAACTTATATCCTGAATCATGACTTCTTGATCAATCTTCAGCCTCATGTGTTCAACTACTCAGTAGCTGAGTTGAATATCTGATAGGTATCCTATCCTTATCTTCCCCGAAAAACTTGCTTCTCTAGAAGCCTGCTTTACCTAAATTTACATTAAATTTAGTGTTTTACATGCATTAACCCATGTGTTTCTTATACCAACCCTGTTAGGTACTATTAACCCCATTGAATAAATATAGAAATTAATAATTTAAGTAGAGAATAGTCTAATAATTTTCTCAAGGTCAGAGAGGCAGTAAGTGGAAGAGCTAGGCTTGGAACACAGGTATGTCTAAAAAAAGTCTATACTCTTAACTATTACATTTTGCTTGATGATGATGATGATGAGCATCAATAACAGGTTTGAAAAAAGATAGAGGAGAAGGTGAAGGATAAACAGGAGAAAAGGAAGGAGGATAAGGAATAAGAGCAAAATAACGGTTTTAGTAGCAGTTTTCTAGTAGTAATCTGTTGTGGTGGTAGTTTTTGTTCTTGCTGCTGCTGTTGTTGCTGTAGTTTGAATGAGAAAGCAACTTTATTTCTTTCTGAGATGTGGGCAGATGTCCAGTCTTAGAATTTCTGAAATTGCATCTTGGTGCTGGTGGCCTTGGTGACACTGAGCACATTGAAGTGAACTATCTTTCTCAAGGGCTAGCACTTGCCCACCATTATGATGTTGCTGACCTGGATGTCCCTGAAACAGAGGGACAGGTGTACAGACATTCTTAGGGTACTTCTTGTAGGATTGCACTTGTGGATATAGTCCTGGTGGATGACAATGGTCCTCTGCATTTTCATCTTGGCCACCATGACAGACAGGATACTGTTGGGGTGTTTTAATAAAAACAATAGCAGTCAAGTATTGAGTCCCTATTATCTACCAAACACCATGGTACCTGTAATGGTTAATACTGAGTGTCAGCTTGATTGGACTGAATGATATAAAGTATTGATCCTGGGTGTGTCTATGAGGGTGTTGCCAAAAGAGATTAACAATTGAGTTAATGGGCTGGGAAAGGCTAACCCACCAGTAATCTGGGTGGGCACAATTTAATCAGCTGCCAGCACAGCTAGAATATAAGCAGGCAGAGAAATGTGAAAAGAGAGACTGGACTAGTCTCCCAGCTTGCATCTTTCTCCCTTGCTGGATGCTTCCTGCCCTCGAACATCAGACTCCAAGTTCTTCAGTTTTGGAACTCGGAATACTTTCCTTGTTCCTCAGCCTGCAGATGGCCTATTGTGGGACCTTGTAATTGTGTGAGTTAATACTTAATAAACTTCCCTTTATACTATCATCAGATCTCATGAGACTTACTCACTTTTACGAGAACAACACACCAAAGACCTGCCCCAGTGATTCAATGATCTTTCACCTGGTCCCTCCCACAACACAGGGGAATAAAGATGAGCTTTGGGTGGGGATACAGCCAAACCATATCAGTAGTCTCTTTACTTACATTGTCTCTTTTAATTTTCACAAGACCCCTATGAATTCATATTATTACTTTCATTTTACAGATGAGAAAACTGAGATACCAGGAGATTATTTAAACTGATCACCGGTAAAACAGCTCATAATTAAGAGTAAGAATATAAAACTGAATTGGTTTAAATCCATTGTCTGTGCTCATTCCCCTATGATATGCTGCCTTTGGGCACTGTTGGTTTTGGCCATGGCCAAGACAAAATTTCAGAGCCTGAATTATCCAGGAGGGAGACTAAAGAAGCAGCAAACTTTTTCAGAATCTTAAAGGGAAATTTGAACACATCTATATAAAAGTGTGTATGTGTGCATGTGTATGTTTAAACTATATTATTTCTTATAGCAATCCAAAAAATGCTATATTGTTATTAAGCAATTCTTTTTTTAAAATCTCTTATTACATATCTCAGAGGACAATCTGTTGGCACTCCCAGATAAAACAGGACAGATGAATTGAGAAAAGGAGTCAAAATAATAAATGTACCTGTTTTGATGTCTCATTTTATTGCTGTAATGCAATTAATTTATGACTAGAGGCCTCAGACATTGCATCATATCTCATTTATCTGTGTGAAGTTTCAAAACAAGTAAGGAAAACATAACAATTATTATGGATTTGTAAACACTGGAGTTTATAAACAAAGCAAGAAATTCGAATAAAGGAATCTTATTCACTGGTGATAGGACAGAAAAAAAAAAACAGTATAAGCCTTCTGGCAGCAATTTAGATATATGTTTAAAAGACTTTAAAATGTTGATATCCTTTTACCTATCAGTTCTCCTCACAGAAATTTATCTTAAAGAAGCAAAATAAAATTTGGGTAACATTTCCTGAATCAAATGTTCACTACATTGTTACATATCACAACATCAAATGGAAAATGATTTTTATGACCAAGAATAATAAAATGGTGCAATAGTAAAGAGCTATTAATATTTTACAGCCATATTTATCAAATTTTGATGACAGAAAATTGCCTGTGATAATATTTAGGTTCTTTAGAAGCAAAACATGAAAATGTATATACAGTACAAATTTAGATATGTTCCAAGATAGAAAATAAATAAGTTTAGAAATAAATATGCCAAGTAAATAATAGTATTTACTTCCAGTTAGTAAAACTGTAATTTATTTTTGTGTGGGTAGTGCTTTTTGTCAGCTTCAAATAATTACATTTCCCAAATTTACTACATTGTGCATTGACTATTTTTACAATCAAAAATGGGAAAGATAGATTCAAAAAGATAAAAAGAATATAAAAAGAAATAGAGCTTAATTAATCCAAGCATGTCATTTTGTTTTCTCTTATTGGCTGAAGTTTTAGTGTATTTAAATAAGAAGATCGGCTTTCATATCACACAATTGCTCTCAGCTGCATTAATAATAAATTCCCATTAAAAATATTTAATATCAGTTTTTAGAGGGAAAAATACTTTCTCATAAAGGAATTTAGACATTTAGTTTTCACTGATTCTTGCAAATGCACTATTTAGCAACTACTTTCAGGGGTTAATATACCAGTCCTGGGATATAAAACCATATGTTGCAAGCTTTTTTTATTTCCTAGAAACATCAAGAAATATACGCAAAAGCCAGACCTGTTTATACAATATATTTGATGCTTCAATTTTTAAAATTTATTTAATGGAGTCAGCCAGTGATGATTAATATTATTTTTTGCCTGCTAGTACCAAGATCTAAATAACATTTTTGACTAGATTACATTTATGCAGGTCTCCTTTTAACGGAAATTGGAGAGATGAAAAAAAAGATTATAGAAAGAGATGCTATAAAAACAGACCTCACAAGTCAAACTTCATAGTGAAACTATTTTCTTTCATGTAGGCTACCACGAAAACAAATATCCTGTGAGCTAGAGATATATATTGAATCTTTCCTGCAGATCTTTATGCCTTCTTGAGACAGATTTCCATAACTATATAATGTGATTATAGTTGATGAGGCAATGGCCCACAGAAAGAGGCTGACAAAAGCATCAGGCTCCAGGAAACCAGATAAACATGTTCATGATTTCTAATTGGAACAAGGATAGGATAGCATTCTATATGAAGACAGAACCCAGAGGCAGGGAAAATATTGATTTCTTCAACTTTAATAAATACACATCCGTAAAACAGACACAACCCTCTTATAAGAATAACCCTTTAAAAAACATTCACATTACTTGTTTAATTAATTGATAGATAAAATTGAAAAAGAGGCTGTATAGCTTTAACATGTAATGTGAAAGTTATAACACTCTGGCAGAGACATTTTAAACAGGAAAAAGAAAATCCTTGTAAACAAACTAGAAGAGCAAAGAACATTGTATGAGAAACTTTTCCAAAAGGCTATCTCAAGTAGTTTAACTGACGGAATCCCCAACTCTCTTATCATCTCACACTCTATCCCTCCTTGTATAAGCTGTATAAAGATAATCTTTTTTTTTTTTTTTTGAGACAGAGTTTTGCTTTTGTTACCCAGGCTGGAGTGCAATGGTGCAATCTCGGCTCACCGCAACCTCCGCCTCCTGGGTTCAAGCAATTCTCCTGTCTCAGCCTCCTGAGTAGCTGGGATTACAGGCGCGCACCACCATGCCCAGCTAATTTTTTGTATTTTTAGTAGAGACGGGGTTTTACCATGTTGACCAGGATGGTCTTGATCTCTTGACCTCGCGATCCATCCGCCTCGGCCTCCCAAAGTGCTGGGATTACAGGCATGAGCCACCGTGCCCGGCCATAAAGATAATCTTTATAGATACTAAACTGAAAGAAAAACTGTGACAGGAATTTAATGTGACCCAAAGTTAAAAAAACAGTATAATTTCAGAGCTTCTGCTAAGTCTCTATTAATAGCAAGAACATAATGAGGATAGATGATTCTCTTGTTTGAAAAGTAATCGGCCCTACTTCTTAGGAGTTAGTGGGTTCCTGGATCCAGCAGGCAAGCTGAGGGATGTACCAATGCTGTGCAAAAAAGAGGAAAAAAAAAATTCCCTTTACGAATTTAGAAATCATGGCAGATTATGCTGCTTTTAAGAAAATATTTTCCTTCCTTCATATGAATTGACTACACTGCTTCAGAATTATTGCTTGTTTTCCAGAGGTATGTGTATGTGACAACCATAAGTTACTGATAAGAGTCAGGAACCTGAACAAAAGACCGAGAGAGGTAATTAAGAAAACCTCCTAGGGTTCCCAAATTTGGAGTGAAAGACTCAGTCTAATACATGTGACTAAAGTCTCCTATTGTGGATTGCGCTCTCTAGATTCAGTAACACAGACTTTGGAAATATACTTTAAGGATTATTGATTGTCTTGGTGGAACAAGTAGGACAATCCTAGAATCAGGTGAACCTCTGTAGGTAAAGTGAGGGTTTTCCTAAGATCAGGAGAAAGAGAATGCCTACTGTTACTGAGAAAAACTGAAAAGGGAACTCTGTCACAGGAGAGTAAATAAAGCCAAGAAGCAAAGCTAGGAACTAAAGTTTGTCCGTAAGAGGCTCTCTGTGTGGTGTAACTCTTTTTTTCTCCCCTTGTCCTAAAATTCTGAGACAAGTCAGATTTAGTAAATAATGTTCAGTGCTGTTTCCCTAGATTCCCTCCTGTTAGCTCCTAAACTTCAGTAAACATTACATACACTCAGTCTTCTGTCCATGGTGTTGTACAAAATTAAGACTATCAGTAGCAAAGTAAAGTGGCTGTATTTGCACCCCCTTTTTTGCTGAAACTAGTATGTCAGGAATAATATTGTATAGAAGAAGGCCCAGAGTCCCTAAATTCTAGACACTGACCACTGTCTGACACACAAGTCAAGTAGCAGCTGAGATAAAATGATGAGAAGCAAACAACCAGGGGAAAGAGCAAGCAGAATGAATTGACTCAGGAGAAGCTAAACTCCCTGCTTTCTCCCAAATATACTAGCAAAAGACAACATTAAGAAAGAAGGTAGATGTTGGATCTCAGGACTATGCTTCCACCTGCTTAAAACAATCATTATTTCACTATGTGTACAATGTTTGTGCAGTCTTCGTGACCAGTTGTCTCAATGTAACAGAATAATAACTGATATCTTACGATTTGGGTTTTATTAATGTTTATTCAAAGCACATGTTTTTAGTTTTCTTTATTTTCATCAATACTCTCTCTCATAAAAAATAGGATTTGAAAGTATTATTAAAAATGTGAACTATTAAAAAAACGTAGCTGAAGAAATTTTGGTTAAAAGCAGATGAATACATTCAAAATGCAAGTTGAGCATCCCTAATCTGAAAACCAAATATCTAAAACACTCCAAAATCCAAAACTTCCTGGACACTGAAATGATGCCATAAATGGAAAATAATAGTTTTTCATGAACAAAATTATTTAAAATATTGTATAAAATTACTTCCGGACTATGTGTATAAAGATATATATGAAATATAAATGAATTTCATGTTCAGACTTGTATATCCTCCCCAAGATATCTCAGTATGTATTATATATGCAAATATTCCAAAATCTGAAAAAAATTGGAAACACTTCTGGTCCCAAGCATTTAAGATAAGGAATATTCAATCTGTAAAAGGAAAGTCAGTACACAAAAGCACAGCAAAAATGTTTTCCAGAATCACTAGAGAGGGCTGTAAATACGGTTCCGAGTTTCCCAGCAGCCAAAGCAAAGGGAAAATCGGATCAGTTATAAGAATCACATTGGTTTAAAGGTACAAACACCCTGTTGTACAGAAGAAAAGCTTTTCTTCTGAAACTGAGACTTGTGAGAAATGTTTCTCACAGATCTTTATAAACAAGAGACAATAAAGAACAATATCCTTTGGAAACATAATAGCAAGTCTATTCCAGTGTTTCCTTCTTGTGTCCCTCAAAGAATTCTAACATACCATGCTAATGCTTCAATCAGTAAGGAACGCTTTATTCTCAGATGAAATATTTGTATTATTTAATAACCATCAGTTAATAAAAGTCAACATAATGTACCTATTTCTCTGTATCTCTTGAACCAAAACTGTATCATTGCTATGGATAAACAAGAATATATTATTAATACAGTCATTATTTTGATATTCCTAAAAGAAGAAAAAGCATATTATTCTTACCAAAACCACTCTGAAGGTATCCATTATTTCCCTTACCTGTGATTCTTTCACATTTTCAACAGTAAAGTTGAACCAGACTCGGAAGCGTGGATTACAGGTGTCCGGCCTAATAAACAGATCATACTCAAACTCAGAGACGTGGTCCACCCGGCCCAGGTTACCTGGTAATAAAAATTAAGAGAACTGTGTTTTAATAGAAGTTCATGCAGCTAAATGGTACACACATTTAAATACTATACTCTCTGATAGTAGCATTTGTCAACATTGAATACTTGAAGGTTCAGTGTTCACAATCCATAGGGCTGCCAAGTCTGAATGCAGTCCAGTGTAAGAACTTTTCAGCTAGACCAGGCTGTGGTACAAGCTTCTCTGTCAGGCCCTTCTGGCCCAGATCCTTTTGTGCTACAAGTGTCTTTGACAGAGCAAGATACTATATGGAATCTGTGGTAAGCCCCTATAAACCAAGAGAAGAATCACAAACTTCAGTTTCCTACTTAGAAAAGTGAGAATGATAATAACTTATGTATTTTCTTTAAGCTTTATTGTATACAAACTGACTCTAACATACTGTATCTTGTTTACATTTTCACAACAGATATATATGGTTTGTACTGAGCTTCTTGTATTCTAAACTTCTATCAGAACATGTTAAAGAATATGTACAGTAAGGTTTTAAACAAAAATTACAACTAATTGCTACATAACAAAAATATAATAATAAAACTTAATTTCCATTATCTCCATCAAGAGAACTAACAGCTATATAAAAAAATGTATAAACTTAGGTGTTATCTCCATTCTCTATATTGTCTCTCATTTTTCTCACTGATATTCTAGCAAGCAGTGAAGTACCAAAAATGTTAACAGCAGAATGAGATTAAATAAAGCAGAGTCTCACCACTCCTATTCAACATAGTATTGGAAATTCTGGTTAGTGCCATCAGGCAGGAGAAAGAAATAAAGTATTCAAATCGGAAGAAAGGATGTCAAATTGTCCCTGTTTGCAGATGACATGATTGTATATTTAGAAAAACCTATCATCTCAGCCCAAAATCTCCTTAAGCTGATAAGCAACTTTGATAAAGTCTCAGGATACAAAATCAATGTGCAAAAATCTTAAGCATGTCTATACACCAATAACAGACTAACAGAGAGCCAAATCATGAGTGAACTCCCATTCACAATTGCAACAAAGAGAATAAAATACCTAGGAATACAACTAACAAAGGATGTAAAGGGTCTCTTCAAGGAGAACTACAAACCACTGCTCAAGGAAATAAGAGAGGATGCAAACAGATGGAAAAACATTCCATGCTCATGGTTAGAAAGATTCAGTGTTGTGAAAATGACCATACTGTCCAAAGTAATTTATAGCTTCAATGCTATCCCCATCAAGCTACCAATGACTTTCTTCATAGAATTTGGAAAAAAAAATCTTAAACTTCATATGGAAACAAAAAGAGCCATATAGCCAATCCTAAGCAAAAAAACAAAGCTGGAGGCATCACACTACCTGACTTCAAACTATATTACAAGGCTACTGTACTCAAAACAGCATGGTACTGGTACCAAAACAGGGATATAGACAAATGGAACAGAACAGAGGCCTTAGAACACCACACAACTACAACCATCTGATCTTTGACAAACCAGACAAAAGCAATGAGGAAAGGATTCCCTATTTAATAAATGGCGTTGGGAAACTGGCTAGCCATATGCAAAAGCCAAATTGGACCCCTTCCTTACACCTTATACAAAAATTAACTCCAGATGGATTAAAGATTTAAACATAAGACCTAACACCATAAAATCCTAGAAGAAAACCTATACAATACCATTCAGAACATAGGCATAGGCAAGGACTTCATGACTAAAAAAACCAACAACAATGGTAACAAAAGCCAAAATAAACAAATGGGATGTAATTAAACTTAAAAGCTTCTGCACAGCAAAAGAAATTATCATTAGAGCAAACCAGCAACCAAGAGAATGGAAAAAACCTTTTTTGCAATCTACCCATCTGACAAAAGGTTAATAACCAGAATCTACAAAGAACTAAAACAAATTTACATGAAAAAATCCCAACAAAAAGTGGTCGAAGGATATGAAGAGACACTTCTCAAAAGAAGACACTCTGCATCCAACAAACATATGAAAAAAAGCTCATTATCACTGGCCATTACAGAAATGCAAAGCAAAACCACATTGAGATACCACCTCATGCCAGTTAGAATGACGATCATTAAAAAATTTGGAGACAACAGATGCTGGAGAGGATTTTACACTGTTGGTGGGAGTGTAAATTAATTAACCACCATTGTGGAAGACAGTGTGTCAAGTCAAGAATCTGGAACTAGAAATACCATTTGACCCAGCAATCCCATTACTGGGTATATACCCAAAGGATTATAAATCATTCTACTATAAAGACACATGCACACATATGTTTACTGAGGCACCGTTCACAATAGCAAAGACTTGGAACCAACCCAAATGCCCATCAAGGATAGACTGAATAAAGAAAATGTGGCACATATACACCATGGAATACTGTGCAGCCATAAAAAAGGATGAGTTCCTGTCCTTTGCAGGGACATGGATAAAGCTGGAAACCATCATTCTCAGCAAACTGACACAAGAATAGAAAACCAAACACCACATGTTCTTATTCATAAGTGGGTGTTGAGCAATGAGAACACATGGACACAGAGAAAGGAACTTCAAACACCGGGGCCTGTCAGGGTGGGGTGATCGGGGAGAGATAGCAGGGAGTGGGGGATTGGGGAGGGATAACATTAGGAGAAATACTAATGTAGATGACTGGGGGATGGATGCAGCAAATCACCATGGCACGTGTATACCTATGTAACAATCCTACATGAGCTGTACCTGTACCCCAGAACTTAAAGTATAATTTTTTAAAAAAAGAGAAATGCAAATCAAAACCATAATGAGGTACCATCTCATGCCAGTTAGAATGTGATCATTATAAGTCAGGAAACAACAGATACTGGAGAGGATGTGGAGAAATAGGAATGCTTTTACACTGTTGGTTGGAGTGTAAATTAGTTCAACCACTGTACAAGACAGTGTGGTGATTCCTCAAGGATCTGGAATTAGAAATGCCATTTGACCCAGCAGTCCCATTACTAGGTATATAGCCAAAGGATTATAAATCATTCTACTATAAAGACACATGCACACGTATGTTTACTACAGCACTGTTCACAATAGCAAAGACTTGGAACCAACCCAAATGTCCATCAATGATAGACTGGATTAAAAAAATGTGGCACATATACACCATGGGATACTATGCAGCCATTAAAAAGAATGAGTTCATGTCCTTTGTAGGGACGTGGATAAAACTGTAAACTATCATTCTGAGGAAACTAACACAGGAACAGAAAAGTAAACATCACATGTTCTCACTTATAAGTGAGAGTTGAATAATGAGAACATATGGGCACAGGGAAGGGAACATACACACCATGGCCTCTTGGTTTGGGGAGCAAGGGGAGGGATAGCATTAGGAGAAATATCTTATGTAGATGACAGGTTGATGGGTGCAGCAAACCACCATGGCACATGAATACCTATGTAACAAACGTTCTGCATATGTATCCTAGAACTTAAAGTAAAATAATAATAAAAATAATAACAAAAAAATATTTTTTTAAATTACATTTCAAAAAAGAAAATATAAAGAAATTTCTTTGTGACCCTTGAGTAGGCAAAGATTTCTTAGATAGAACATAAAAAGCATAAACTATATTTTTAAAAACTAATAAACTGAATTTCATAAAGAGACACCAAAAATCACTTTAGCTCTTTAGTTCTCTGAAAGACACTATTAAGAAATGACAAAGAAAGACATTGACTAACAGAAGATATTTGTTACATAGAAAAAGAATTTGTATCCCTAATGATACTAAGCATTGCTTATCATCAGGAAAATACATATTAAAACCACGACAGAATACTACTGCATACCCGTAGAATAACTAAAAAATAAAAACATAAACAATTGAAAACCTGGCCCCAACAACTGATAATGAGGATGTGAAGCAACTAGAATTTTTATACGTTTCCAGTGAAAATATAAAGGATGATTACTTTGGAAAACATTTTGATAATTTCTTATAAAGGTAAACATACAGCAACTACATGACCTAGCTGGTCATAGACATCTAACCAAGAAATAAATTAAAAATTATGTTTGCACAAAGACTTTTAAATTTATGTTCATAGAAACTTTATTTGTAATAGCAGAAAACTGGAAACAACCGAAATGCCTTTCAATAGGTTGAACGAATAAACATATATTTACACAATAAAATAGTACTAAGCAATAAAAAGAAATGAATTATCAGTACATACCACATGGATCAATCTCAAATCATTATGTCCAAATAAAAAGGCCACACAAAACAGAGTACATAATTAATTCCATTTATTCAAGAAAATGCAAATTAATATTTATGGATAGAAAGCAATGATTAGTGTTTGTCTGGGTAGAAAGAAGGATATATTATGAAGGGGCCTGAGAAATTTTGCAGGTGATAAATATGTTTGCTCTCTTGATTACGGTGACAGTTTCATAAATGTATGTATATGTCAAAAAGCAGCAAATTTTACATTTTAAATATTTTCAATTTAATGTTGTTCAATTATACAGTACTTTAATAATTTTAAAAAAATACTTATACTTCTCCACTGTCTCATCTTCCCTTGGAATGTCCCAGAAGTAACAGCTATCTTAAATTTAGTGTTTCTGTTTTACACGCATTTTTTGAAACAAGCATTACACATAGTATAGTAGTTATGTACAGGTACTGTAAAGCCAGGCTGCATAAACTGTAAATCTGGCTCTATCACTTAATAGCTACGTTTCTTTGGAAAAATTAATTCATTTTTATGTGCCTCAATTTATTCATTATAATGGGATGATAATAGTACTTTTTCACAGGGTTATTGTTAGTATTGACTGAATTTATATAAATAGCTAGAAGAGTATCTATCAAATAGTAAATTATGGGTATGCCATATAATACAAAACCAGGTAGATATTAAATTGAACATGAAAGAATTGTTAATAAAATGGAACAATATTAAGGCAATATATTAAGGATGGTTAGGAATCTGGGCTCTGGTTCATCCA